GCCAATCCACTTAATTAATTTGAAAATAGGCACACCAATTATTATGTTACAAAATAGCAACTAACCAAAACTTTTCAACGGCACGCCGTTTGCAGTACAAGGATTACTTGGCAACATCGTACAGGCAATTATCTTAACCGCAAATTTCAGAGATGATGTCTTCATTCCTCACATTCCGATAATACCTACTGATCCGTCATTTCAAGTTGAGATACCGCAATTCCCTATTCGTTTGGCGTTTGTAATCAAAATCAAAAATGTCAGAGCCAGTCTTTCGAAGTATGCTGCTTAAATCTACGCACCGACTGCCGCTTACATGGACAATTACACGTTGCGTGTTCTAGAGTCAGCAACCGACAAAGACAACCTTAAAATACGAAACGTGTTATACCCACAAGAGTTGTGAAACTACATAAATTACAAAGATGAGACGTTATTCCTTCATTTTCATTCATCTAAACAATAGTACAACGAACATCCTTGCATACCAACGCCTTTTTCAAAACTACATTCATTAAAATGGTTATATTTTTCTTTTCATTCATTTTTGTTTTCATTCACGGAGCCACAGAAATGAGTGGCCTGGTACAACTAGTGTTCTATAAAATTAAATCGCCAATTTATTAGCAGTGTTAGCTAGATTTAGTGTTCTGGACTGACAGTAGGATGAATCCAAAGTGAACAATGGGGTAATTAAAGTAACTACTGGCCTAATCCTGCCCCCAAACGCCTTTCTATTCCGCTGAAAATAATAAATTTAAACTATGGCGCTTTTGACGTATAAAAAGCTGTCTGTGCCCCGAAAGTAGCTTGTTTGGGAGAAATTCAGTAACCACTAGAGCTTACGAGTTGCATTGATTCAGGCAGTGTTTGTTTTCTATTCCCGAGGATGGATGTGTTAGGTAACCATTGTGCATACAACGAGTGATGCCTCAAACATGCCCATAGCAAATTGGTAGAAAACTTCAACGACCACAGCCAAGCTCATAATGCAAAATTGTAGCTTGTTATTAACGTGTTCTGCTACATGTGAACAACGAAATTTCTGTGCATTCTATGGGGAATAAAGTTGATGCAAATCGCTTAATTGTTAATATGGCATTTCATCTAAAACAATCCACGGTCTTCATGGATAGAACTTACCAACGAAATTTCCCTACTAGACAGCGGTGTCCTCATTCAGTTTCTAGTTATCCTGGCACCAAATAGCTATATTACAGAATGTTTTACAAAGTTTGATTAGATATATAAGAGTTAACTACTAGAGGCCTCTCAACTCCGTGTACAGTAGTGGTCAGTCTAAGATTTGATTTCGAACAAATTTTTAGAGTAGGTTTAGTGAAAGAGGAGCCCTGTGCATTAGTACCAGAGAGAAAGTAAAGGCTAAGCCTGGTACGATAACAGGAAAATTGGGCCTCCAGAATCACGGTTAGGACCATTCCTTCAAACAGCCCGGACATTAGTTAACGATAAGCCAATCTCAGTCTTTCTAGCCTTACACACTTTTCAAGCACGCCAGCAAATCGGCCCTATTTTTGCCGAGACCGCTAAAACATGGCTCAAAGCATCTACTTTAAGCTGCTACCAGTGCGTCATCGATGTGAAACAACATAGTGGTACATCACAGCAGTGACTGAAACTTGGCTGTCAGGTAACACATTAAATCCGGTGATTGAACTCAATGGGATGTCAATCTTTTGAAATAATCATTCATCTCGCGGTGGCGGTGGTGCGATTTACAATAGAGTGTACCTAAATGTTAGGCCTTTAGCCAACATTCTTTTGTTATGGTGGACGCATTAGCTTGTCAACTGCAGATAGCAGGTCGAGATGGTGGATCACAGAAGAAGACGTGTAATTCTTGCCTCAGAAGTTTTCTACAGGTCACCGAACTCCTCCGCAGACGTTGAAGACATTCTGTTAAATGCACTCTACCTAGCTGTTACAAAAAGTACCCTTTTAACCTTATAATGGACGACTTTAAAGTCCATTCAATTGCCTCCATATCACCCAAAAGGCCATTATACAAATCGAAACTCCTTGAATTCAAGGATGTGGCAGTGTTTTATAACCATGTGCATCGACTAACCAGAAACTGCGACTCCAACAAGCCACCACTACTGGAACTGATCCTGACAAACAAAAACTGATGGTTGAGTCAGTCTCACACCACCCTACACTAAGCATTAGCGACCATTCAGTCCTAGCATTTGGTTGTGTGCTGTGTCAGCATGGTTGCGAAAGAACGCGAAACCCAACGAACTACCACTGATTATTCCAAGCCTTAAAACCTAGTGACAACCGTTGAATGGAATCTACAGAATCACAGTTCGGTGAACGACGCATGAAATTGATTGAAAGAAAAATTAACTGGGTCATCCGAGTAGCTTTAAAGGTTGTACTATTACAGGTAACACGCCGGGCCAACAGTTAGATCCAAAGCAGAACACGTACATTGTTAAATCTAGCTATGAGCTCTGGAGGCAACCTACGCTAAGCTTATGTGCTACCACTTAGCAGAATTACAAATAAAGCAGAACCTACTGCAGGTCACTCATTGGGGCAGACAAGTAGAAAAACAGGAGAACATGTTACTCAAGTTAAATGGTGACACAGGTAGCTGAACAGTAAAAGAATGTTTGCAGCTGGAATACTAACACACAAGACGACTGGTGGATTACCGGCTACTGCTGTAGATACCGCGAGCGCACTACTCCAGGAATTTGGTACAGTTGCTACAAATACCATGGAATCTTTGTCCTACCATCTCCCAACGATTGTGGTCGGCTTATTCACTGTCATCTTTGCCACAGCAGCAGCCGTAAGCAAGTTAGTGTCTCTCAGGGAAACAGTGCTTTGGGAGATGATAACATCTGCACCTAGGTACTTAAAGCCCTTATCCTCACCAGAGCACTATAGCTTGCAACAGTCTCCTATGGTCCGTTTGACTCCATGCACTCCCGTCAATTATGAAACTGGAATCATCAGTCCAATGTCCAAAGAAGGTAAACCATAGGATCCTGCCAACTACCGAACTAAAACTGTCCTACTAGTTTTCTCAAAACTGATGGAATTGGTAATCGCAGATGAACTGACGTGAAAGTTTGAAAGACTACAAATGATTTTCAAAATCCGAAATGGTTTCAGACGCAGAATATTTTGTCTCACAAATCTCTTTTTACTCGTAATTCATGGACTAGGCCAACTGATGAAGCAGCCCACACAGATGTGGTTTACTTGGATTATCTAATGCATTCGACAGGTTCGTTCACTTCATTCTATTCCAGAAGCTTGTTGCCTGCGGTATTAACCGTTCCCTGCTCACCTGATTTGATTATCTACGAAAGAGAACCAACATGGTAAGAATAGCCAAAACTCACTCCGAAAGCCTGCGCAAATCCAATGGTAAAACACAAGGATCCGTTCTCCGCTAGCTACTGTTTTATTTTATATAAATGATCTCTCAGGAAACATTTTATCTCCGACGCAGATATATTTAGATAATGCCAACAGAGAGAGGGCATCCAACCGCGCCTTTCCGCAAGACGATCTGAGCCGGATTAATGAATGCGCAAGGGACCAGCTCCCACTGAAACGTGCAAAGCACCTCTTGCAGACCGTGCGTAGCAGCTTCATCAACGCATGTCTTCTGGGACATTACGTTGTACTACAGGTGACTAGTGAACCAGACTTAGATAGCATTGTTCAAGAGAGTGTCCTCCCTGCTCTCCAATGTTCAAAATCAGCGAAAGTAGCGAACTTGAACTTAGGGCTTTTGAGGCGAGCTCTCGTCACCTTTGAGCGACTGCTAGTACCCCTGATGATCGACATAAATCTGCATCCCCACGTTGAATATGCGATTCACGTGTGGCACCAATGTTTAAAAGGAAAAATTCGTCTCTTGACGCAGTACCAAATAACAGCCACCAAAGTGCCTTCGTTTACTCATTGTGTTCTCCTCAGAATACCGACGACTTTGCCGAGATCTCGTTATCAAATCGCGGACACGGACCGAAAGTATGCACCCATATACACCGGTTTTAACCCAAACCCATTAAACCAATGCCTTTACTACCACCTGAAACTTGTAACGCCACACCCGTTTAGATTGTAGAAAGTATTTTTACGCTTTTACAATCGGTTCTCACTAGAATGCACTACTAACACGTGGTGAACCCACCATACATCGAGACATTCGAAAGACTTTTATACATTCATCTTAGTGCTACACGCTGCACAACATTATGCCAAAGTGCAAGGTCTTTGCTATTGGAAAGTCGCGTTTCAAGTTGAAGCGTTTTGATTTTATTATTCTTTTGTATTTTCCATCTTGTAGGTCTTGTAAAATTATGCTTTCTACCCCATCATACACTTTTGAACCAATAAATTCGTTTCGAAACATTTTATAGCGTAATCACTAGTCCTATATCATATACCAATAAGTAAACAAGCGTTTGGAACTAGTAAACAAGCAAATGTATATGATTATTGTCTAACCTACAAGCTTGCTAGGCTGGCGTACACCCAAAGAGAAGTATCTAGGCGGTGTTCGGGTCACGTTTCGGATGTGTGCAAGTAAACAGAAGTGGTCTGCACGCAACAGAAAAACTGCCTGATTATCCTGGATACGGAGTATTTTACTCATTTAAAGGCCGTTGTGCAGGTGAATCTTAAGGTCTCAAAGATGTACCAGGTATGCTTTCTTTATCGGTTGTTCATGCAAGATGTCACCACGACTGTGCTGAGTCAACTTCGTTTTTTTCTATTAGAAAGCGCATTTAAGCATTACCCATGAATTGCGGCGTACACCAAAGGCATAGTAAGTGACAAGAACCGGCGCGAGGACTGGAAACGATGGATTAGTCTATTCCGGTGTCAAACCATACACACAAACCCAGTCACTAATATTCTATACTAGCAGTCCAAACACTGTTATCGTCTGTGTAGTTTCAACAAGGCCGCTGCTCCATTCTTTACGCACAACAACGGCAGCCTGGAAATGATGACAAAAGCAACAGAAATTCATGCTCAAGCATAAAATGCGAAATACAATGGTTTGAATACAAAAATTTCACTGAATCGGAAATATGCCGCGTTGTAGCACAGGACGTCAAAAAGATATGGTAGAACAGCACTTCGGTGCGATGTACACGAGGGAGCGTTTTGCATCGATAAAATACGAAGAGAGGGTAAAATGTGTGCACTATGAATATCAAAATTTGCTCTGTTCCTGTTTCAATGGAAGGGTTCCGTTCTTAACCGTCGGACTAAATCATCTACAACTGCACGATTCGCCGTTGATAGCAAGTGTTCTGTTTTCCAGAGGCAATTACTATCCACCCACTGACGTCGTAATGCAGAGAGATAGAACCGTATTTCATTTCGTGGTATAGACCACGCATCGGCGATATCATTCCTAGTCACAGGAAACTTGGGTGCCACCCAAATACTCCATTCAGTAATAATCTGTACATCGTAAGCCAAGTAATTCATCATTTCCAGCATCACTTTATGCATGCTACGGCTTGACACATCAGAAAGCAGTAATTCACGCCGAAAATGCTCGGTCGCCACATTCTCTGGGATTTGAGCACACCGCTCACGATTTCTGATGATATAGCACATTATCTTTCGTTCCAACGTTTTCAGCTGTAGACGCGTGAAAAGTTTCTCAGCCTGAAACGGATACAGGAAAAAAACTCTAGGCAAGCCCATCAAGGTGTCACATCTCACCAAATTAATAGGGTAGTATTCGATGTGTGTTTGAAGAATGATTAATGAAATAATAATACGTCAATTGCTTTGTGTTAAACTATTAAGTGTTTTGTATCAGGTGGCGCAGATTGTGGATCACGCAACAAGTTGATATTTACTATATGAGCATTTAAAATACTAAAACGTAAATCCTGTTCCCCCTGCTTTGTGTGCTGTGCTCACATGATTGGGGAAGAGAGTCAAACTATTTGAAGGACTGTGTTCCCTGCCTGGGTGGAGTATCTGCACGACAAAGCCACAGTTTTTATGGCAAGGAGACTAATCGACCTTTAGAATAAGTCAAGAGAGCACAGACGCGGTTGTCTTGAACGGTGAACATGTAGTCAAAATGCAAGATACAGCAAAACAAGCGCGCACCTCTTAAGGGGTCCACTGCACACTAATGCAAGCGGGCAACTGACTGGTAGGCAGATATTCAAAAAGGTTACGATAAAATGCAGCGTCCTGCGTTTTGTTCAAATTAAAATTTAGTTCATTCGTCGCTTGATGAGGTGGCTACACCTTCCTCTGCACAGCAGTGACGTGCAAGTGGGTGAATAATGAGCGCGCTATAAAACATTGGTAACTTAGTCACCATGATCGTTACCGTCCACCGTAACTCAGTGATCTCAACAACAGGCTGGCAACAATCAAGGTGCGGACACGAGCCCCATGAGTATCAGATGGAATGTGTAATGCTAACGACTCCCGAAGGGATAAAATGGCCTTACAACGCCTTTATGGGAGTGGAACAGCTGCTGGCTGAGTTTATATTTGATGAATGTCTACCATTACCAACGCTGATGTGCTGATCCACACTATCAGCCACAAGTAATTCCGAGCAAACAATTATTTCGAATGCGGAGCCATCTTCCGTACTAGGTGGTTGTTATCAAGAATACAAGTTTAAGCAAAGGGCAGGAAGCTATTCATATTCACATCTTCCATCGCGCCGTACTTGGAAAAGGACTACTGGAACTGAACTCTACAGAGATCCAGCCGGTTACATGAATTATCCGATACATGATAAAACTAACCAGCGTAAGCCACTACAGAACAACCTCTTCCAATTAAATTACGTTAATGACGATATCTGCATCTTTCACTTCAAAAAGAGCGGTGCAGCGCCGGTATCACAGAAGCAGGAACTCCTCAATACACTCGGTGTTGCAGATGCGTTGCAATGGGATTGCTACGCACGCCAATACACTGGAGTCTGCAATATGTCAGATTAAACTAAAAAGAGAGCGATTTCGGCTAACCGCCAAGTTGTGTGGCAGCAGGAAGGCATCCAACTGTCGCAAGCACCTGGAAGGAAACAAATAAATATGTCATCAATCGGGTACTTTGTAGTCAGTGCTTCATCTGTCATTTTGTCGATTAAACCTCTCTAAAAACACTGGTAATTTTATAATGAATTCATTGCATTTATCATACAAATTCAGTGTTGAAAAATTAAACCGCTGCCCATATAAAAGAAAGAGGAAACTATATTCGTACAAATGCTGTACTTGCAAATCAGCTGTGTTTTAAGCCTATCAAATCGTTTTATAGAAAACGTGAAAGCAAGTATTATATGCGCCCCAAAACGACTTTGGGTCTAAATGCACCTATAATGCAGTGACGATAATATTCACGACGAAATGCGCAGCGAAGAACCTGGCCGGTGATAACATGTTTCTGAAATACGTTAAACATATCGTACTTAGTCAGACGCTATTGGAATGGAGGTTACCAACAAGACCGCCGTCCAATAAACAGAGGGTTTATACCGGTTAATAAGCTCTGCTTTACAAGTTCCGCAGGGTTGTTTGGTGGGGATATCGAAATAATCATACTAAAGTGTTAGTACATTAAATAGGAAAGAAGGGAATTATGGTTTAAATAAATAAATGGATTTGTATAATTGCCACAAGCAGTATGCGGCCCCATACGTAAAAGCGATCGTTTGTACAGAGAATATGTTTCATGGTTTACGTGACATAAATTCATAATAATAAGGTACAATATATTACAGTGTATCAGCCGATTCGTATATAAATCGACAGTATAAGTTTGCAATGTCAATTTATTTCGAAATCATAACTCCGTACATTAGCCGACGCCTTACAAATCCACAAAAAGGAAATTGCTTTTCACGATTTTGACTTCATCACTACCTGCGCTTACTTGAGTATGCTCAAGCGAATACTGCTCTACTGTTGGTCAGTTCTAGCGACCGACTGTTTTATGATCCTAGTTAATGGGACTTAGAGCCGTTATAACAACTATTTTAACCGCACTGGAGAGTGTATTTATTAGATGTCAAGCCATAGGAAGCATGCAAGACAGCCGACAATATGGGGTAAGGTGAAAGGGTATGTCAGACATCGCTTTGCATAGTCCAGGACCTCTTTCATCTGAATCGCAGTGGAGCAGCGGGTGAGAGGATAGTTCACGATTAGTGGAGTAGGACGACGTTGTGATTTTAATGCACCAGATTGACTAGCCTAGCATAATGTATAAGCGCTGTGATTCGGTAACCGAAATAGCGCTAACTCGACGTCATACGATCTAGCTACGGGGCAATGTGCCCACATTTCATGCGATCTTCCCGAGCCATGGAAACATTTTCTAGACAGAAGCGATGTGCATATGCTGCTGGTTTAAAATAAAAAGTTATTGCGTTTGCCGAGCAGTCCAATAATTTTATGGCTGCGCGCCATTTCAAAGTGAGTGAAAAGTGAGAGGATGGCGAAAAATAGTTATAATTGTCATTAACGCCTGTTGAGAAGACAGCAGCATGCGGTAAAACAACAATGGATCCTGCACTGGAATATAAGTTATTGCAGCGGGTTACGAGGTCACGGCACAGCGGGTCACTTGTTACCCGATTGAACATTTGAAGCAGGGCGTTCACAATGTTAACAAGTCCTGAATGCTGGCCTTTTAAACCTGTGAATTTTGTTGCTTCTTACAGATGGTGCAATGGTTTTATGAGCCGATTCGACATGTATCTACGGACCAGCACAAAACTATCTTAGAAACTGTTGATGGAAGTGGATAGTAAACCTGGATCTTTGCAAATGTTTCTGACTCAGCTGAGAAAGCAATACTACTTTGAACGTTCCCCAATAGGAAATATGGACGCGACGCCCGTGCACATTTAGATGCCTTCAAATAGCACGGTAGAACGGAAAGTTGCTAACACAGTTTTTGTAGCGACGACGAAAGATGAGCAGAAACGGTTCACACTTGTTTTATGATGTTTGGTGACTTGTTTTTGTCTATCAGTTCTCCTTAATTTTAAGGATAAGACATTGCCTAACGCAGCAAAGTTCCCAAGAGGCGTGTTTGTGCGGGTTAATGCGAAAGGATGGATGGACGTGAGTGGCACTATACACTGGCTGAATACAGTTTGGGAAAAGCGAAGCGGCGCCTTCGTAAAGAAAGATCTATGCTGGTTTGGGATTCCTTCAGGGCGCACCGAACTGAGAAAGTAGAGGAATGATGCCGTAAACTAAAGCCGTCCTCGGCTTTAATTCTTAGTGGACTTATACCAATCTTGCAGCCACTGTATGTTCGTGTCAATAAAGAAAGACATCGGACCATGTGGATTGAATAAATGGGATCGTCTAATTTAGCGCAGACAATTGTTGGCAATGTGAAAAATTGACATTGTTACAATTGCACCTTGGGTGAAAGAAGCTTAGCTGGATATTCCATCAAAATTATCGCGCGATCATTCAACAAGATGCTGTATCAGTAATGTTATGGATGGAAGTGAGAACGATGCCATTTTTGAGGACTACGATAATGATCAGAGCAGTGAAGCTGTAGATGACGATATTTATCTGGACGTCTCATTGACAGATGACCAGTACCAAAAACAGTTTGAAGGTTCTGGCTCGGATTCTGGTTTTGAAGGATACGAGTAATGTTAATACTATTGTGCAGCGTATAGACTTTTAACGCTGTAAAATCTACCGGTACGTGCTCTTCTGGAATATCTTTTCAAATGTTTTTGTAGGTGATGGTGTTCGATTCTGTATAATCAGTATGTTTGTTCCTGCCATCCGTCTGGGATAACGTCTGTCATTAACGGGTGGTGCCAAGGCAAGGTAGAGGCATAGGTGTGCAGTGCATTTCTGGGTGGCTTTTATGGGACTTTTTCAAACTGCGCACAACCTTTGTATAAGGTGACCCCACCCCAATAGAAACATGGAAAATCGTCCAACATTTACCGGCTTATACACGGTAATATACGGCAAAGTTAAGTAACAAAATTTCGGATCATGAATTTTCTTTCGTATCATAGACCCAATCACGTAATGTGTACAACATACCGGTATTTCGAACACCTTTTTCTACTTGCTGTGGCTTAGTAGAATAATAGCGAGGGGAAAATATTTTGCACCTAAGCAGGATTTAGGTTTTTGTTTGATGATAAGGTGTGGGCAAGTGGATTGTAAGCAACCAGCTGGTCATATTTTATTTGTACCAGTTTCCATCAACGTTTCTTGTGTTCGTTGGGACTCGAAGATCCACAACACAATTGGTATGCTGAGGACAAACTGTATGGAAATTCGAAATGTGACATGGTTTGCACCCATGCGTAACTGTTGGGATAGTTTGTTCCATTGATCGTTGTATCGCACTAAGAAGAAATTGGATCGAATTTTATGACTTGCAAACTTTGAAGGTAGCAAGTAGCTGACATTCCATGTGGGGTAGACTGCAGTCTTTCCTGACTCTTGTGCTATGATGTCTGCGTAAATTAGTTTGTTGGTAATGGTGTGGAGGAAAAGGATGCTCTGTAAGCGTTTCAGCCAAAAAGGATCGATTTGCAGTTGTCGACAGCGATCATAGTAACTAAGATTTGACTAGCGCCTCAGTACCAGCTTGGTAAATTATCCTTAGACCTGGGTAGAGGTGAATAAGGT